AAGACTGGGTTTACAGTTTCTCGAACTGAACAATAATGCGGTCTTGAAGATTCCCAAACTAATGTTCATACAAGAACAGCCGACAAGGATGAACTGGGAACGCTCTACCATATACTGGAACAGTCCATATACGCCATCATAACGGGAGACTTCAATGCAAAGATCAGACGAGGAAGAGTTGAGGAAAAATTTGTTGCTTGGTATGGCACAGGAGGGCAAAATGAGCAAAGAGCTTCACCGGCAACGAAATACCGATGCATTGGCAATATCTTGTACAAAAGGAAGACCAACAGGAAGTGAACATGGATCGCTCCCAATGCGGCGAAGAACGAGATTGACTTTGAGCTGCTCGATAAATGCCAAGTCATGCGAGTCACAGCAGTGTATCATCCTTTACAACCGGCAGAGATAACAGGCTGATGCGGAAAACATCCACTTGGAGGAGAAGATCGAGAGAGAAACGAATTTCGAATGGCAAACCGCACACAACCATCGGAGGAATTCGATGAGGTGGTACTCCAAGAGCGCATTTCAAGCGATGGAGTCCGAAAGGCAGCTGCAGCAATGACTTGGAGAAGTTTTCCAAGCAACTAAGCCTCTGTGCAAAGTCAGCCGAGAGAGTAACATCACTGAGAACGAATGAAAGGTTTCTAGAAGAGATAAAGAATTTGCTTCCGAAATAGAGGAGAATGAAAAGAAATTAAACAACCATGGTGGAGTAATGTCTTTTCTTAAAATCCGACTGAAGCACAAGGAAGATGATGAGGGTGAGGGACTATGCCATTGCAAAAATTGGATAAAGTAGCCGAATATTGCAGAAGCCACCGACAGTATAGCGGGTAGTTAGCGTTTCATCAGTCGACCATTACAGCGTTGAAGAACAATCAGTCGGATTAACGTCTGATGTAGCTGAGATGCAGTCTGTATGCAGAAGTGTTGACAGCCAGCTCTCTGCATCAAAAACACCCTGTTGCCTTTTCCCTCCATAGCTCCAAAAGCCCGATGAACTCCTGATCCTCATAAACGAAGTTCTGTATTCTACAAAGGAAATGAATAACGGATGGACCCTTGCGAGAGACGGTCTGTTAATTTAGATTTTCAGAACAGAGAGTCAGAGGGTTGGAGGGATCTAGTAGACTTTCACCTGCCACCTAGAAATGGAAAAAATACCATCATGCCATAGGAAATCTAAGGGAATCTTGCTTTTCAAGAAGGACAAGAAGGAAGATCTATAGAAATATACGTGAATCTGCCTGCCTTCACAAATCTACAAATTGTTCTCTATGGTCATCAGCAGTAAACTGTTGACAAGTCTAAACGAAGAGCAGCAAGTGTAACGAGCATGATTCATGAGAAACCATAGCTCAATGGGTGCCATATTTTGCTTAAGCTAACTCCTCGAGCGTGTGAAGGAATTCCAACACCCTCTACGAGTTAACGTTTGACACGTCAAGTTCAACGAAGTGTAGATTGCAGTTGTAAAGCAGTTCATCGGCACTCACTACATCAACCTGCTAAACCAAGCATACTCTAGCTGCTTCACGAACATCACTCTGCTCGACACCCGCTGGATTTCCGCAGAAGGGGGCAGTAACAAGGAGACCTCATCTCATTGAAATTCTTCACTACCTGTTTGACAGTGTTGTTGCGAATGATAAGCTGGAAAACGAGATTAATATTCGTAGTGAGCAGCTCAGCAATCTGTGGCTCGCTGATGACTGATGTTGTTTGCCAGTCAGCTAGACGACGTGCTGCATAAGTTCGACAGAAAAAGTGAAGAAGTCGGGATGTGAATCAATAAATCAAAGGCAGAGATATTGGGATGGAAGCCCTGCTGTAGGAACTAGTAATATTTACCGGCGAAATGATCGAAGAGGCCTCCAGAAAGGAAGGCTAAGCAACTG